CCATATGAAAACTTCAATATTGTAATACCAATTAAAAATTGCAATAACAATCCCTTATCTCGTACCCTGTGAAAACTATTGACAGTAGATTAAAGTGATGTACCACAGATTTATAAAAGACATCAATATCTACATAAAAGTCTTTAAAAACATAAACTAATAATAATAAAATAATATACATTGAAATAAATAACGAAACTTAACATAAACTAAAATATATCATTAAAAGGAGTCCCTTTAGGCAAGGTTCCGAAGATACTGGCAGCGTTCCCCCTTTGAATTGCTAGACTAATTCTTTGTCCGAGGTAGCTGCCAGATCTTCGGTCTCCTGTGATGTCGACTAACCTTTTTTGAAATTTCTTTAAAAAAGCCTTAAAGCGCTAGGACCCCACGGACCAAGGGTCTCGACACCGAATGGGACAAAATCATATTCAGAGCCCAGACCCCTGTATTTGCCTGCTTTATTTTTTTCAGCCGCTTCACAAGCCGCACCAGCTCTGTAGTTGGTTCCATGTAGATGGGAAGGGGCCAGCGTGTCTGAACAGGTTGCATCCCATACCAGTACCCGACCCATCTTCCATGGAATCAAACTCATACCGTCCGGTCTCTTGCCATCGTCTCTTGCAATACCACTTGGCTCAAGAAGACTTGGCACGTTGACGGTGGCAAGGGAACGGCGTATGATATCGTTAAGTGCGGCATGTCTCGAGAAGCGGCCTGCACTTTTTTGGCATGACAGGCCGTGATGTCCTAACTTGTCGACATCACTGCCACAGGGACATATATGAGGAGCGCAGACCGGAACCCCAAGCCGTAGACAGGTTGCGATTCGAAGCGTGTCAGGCTCAAGAAAAGTTCCTGTATTTGACGATGGGTAAGCGTGAAGCCAGTAGCCGGCCTCATGCGTGCCCACGGCCAAAAGCCTAGCACGCGCCGAACCTGTACTACGACTCAAAAGATCGTCAAAAGTCAACTTGCAGTGTATGTCATCCCAGCTCCTCTGTGAATTTAGAGATAATGGAAAATTTTGACCTGGGCATGCAATCAAGAAAGCATTTCTAGCTTCTTCCAAGCCAGCAATCTCAAAGTTTGAAGGGGATGCCCTTAAAATTTTACTTATGAGATTTGCTGAACTATGGACAGAAGATAGAAAGGCTGGTAAAGCGACACTGGAAATTTTGCGAATCCCTAAACCACCATAACGGATGGGTAGGGAAGCTTGGGTCCAAGATTGCTCGTTCAGCTGCATATTAAGAAGTGATTCTAAGCTAATTTTGATTAAGTCGTCTAATGGTGTTAAAATATCTGGGTGATTCCAAAAGGAGCAGCAACGGAGCACATACGTAAATTTTGGGAGGAAAAGACAGAATTTTAAGATGCAAAGTGCATAATGTGGACTAATTTCAAGGAGACGGTCAGCAGAATTTTGAAATTTAGTAATTGAAGTATGAATATAATCAGAAATAGATTCATTAAAAATTGGAGAACCTAAAAGGTAAAGGGAATTCCTGTTAACTATTTTAATATTTGGAGCCAAAATTTGAAATTTTTTTTTTACATCATTTAAATTTAAGTCGCAGTTATTTATGAAAAGTTCGCATTTGTTAAAATTAAGCTCCAAACCAATGGCTTCAAATTTATTTTTGATTAAAAGAAGGTCCGAAAACACAGTATCCACATCACCTCCTAGGGTTCCGTCGTCCAAATACCAAACATTGAAATTAGAATTTAAATTTTTGATTATGGGATTTATAGCCAAACTAAAAATTGCAGGCCCAAGGGGATCACCCTGTTGACAACCTACTTCCGAGGAAAGTTCATTAGAACGATATAACAATTTAGTTGGATCAGCGTAACTGAGAAGAAGATAATTGTATATTTCCGGTATATGTTGTTTTATTTCAGTCAGCAGGGTATCCCTATTTACCGAATTAAATGCATTTTTCACATCAATTTTGAGCAACACGTCTGGCTGTCCGTGACTTAGGAAAGAGCGTAGGGCATGGACGGCTGCCTCACACCCTCCTTTCACACCAAAGCCTAACTGTACAGGTTCAAATTCTGAATTTAATTTTGGTAAAATATGTCGAACAGCAATTTTGGAAGCCAGACGTCTTAGTGTTGAACCAACAGCAATTGGTCTCACCCCTCCGTCCTTTTTAGTGAGGGCAATGAGGTTCGCGCCGAAAAGAATGGGAACAATTTCTATATTGACATCCCCGGAATACATAAAATTTATTAATTTTGTGATCGAGTTAATAAGTTGCTCGCCTGCATCACCCACAGAATGCGATGTTAAATCTTTCAAATGTTGGGGTGAGATTCCATCCAATCCTGCTGCCGAACCTGGTTTAAAAGATAAAATTGCATCAGTTACATCTTTGTTTCGAATTTTAAGGCATGCTTGCCCTGCTGTTGGTGGGTCGAGAAAATATGGGTTTACTGGAGCTGGGGGGATGTTTAGTCCGTAATGCCTCAAGGGTGTCAGGCGTATCTGGCGATAGCACGTCATTGGAGAACAAAAGACGAGCGGCACCTTTAAGATCTCCGTCACAAATTTTGTTCTCGATGAGTTTTTTTGCGATTAAAAGGGGCATCATGTTTAATTAGAGGTGCGGGGGGAAGGTGAGGAACTTACAGCACAGTTATTCTTTATCTTTTGTGTCAGGGATAAATTCGGTTCATCAGTTTTTATTATGTGTAGTGTACTGTATGAAAATAAAAATAAGTTCTGCCAGTCTTGAGTACAATTGCTTATATAACATTTCTGGATTAATTTTGACAAATGTGCAGCAACAGTCATTCGTGCTCCGCGAGGGATTCTTTTAACAATGGGTATACTATTTTTCAAATGGCTAAGTAATGTATGAAAAGGAGTTGGAGCGTTGGCTGCAAAAGTAGGCGCACTCGGAATAATGGGATGGATTTCTAAAAGTGAACTGGTTTGGCTAATACAGTTCCTGTGTGTTTTAGAAATGTGTATTTTGAGGCCTTTCAAAGATTTGAAAGACTTGTTGCAAAATGTACATGTATGGGACGCGATCGACGTGCCATCACAAGGTAGGGTCACGGCAGGCATCAGCAGGAGCACAACACAAGCAAAAGCAGGAGCACAACACAAGAAGAAGCAGGAGCACAAGCAAAAGCATAAAGAGCACAAGCAAGAGCACTGAGAAAAAAGGGTTCAGGTTTAGGCATAAGCAAATTTTGTCTGACCACTATTAAATTGTCCGTTTCTTAGACTTTACGTAATTTTATTTTATTTTGTTTTTGTTTATTTCCATTTTTTTACGCATTCAATATCATCATTTTGCATCATATTCCATTTAATTTAATCAATTTTTATTTCTAAATTCTCATAAATATTTTTTTCATGTTGTCACTTTGACAACTTTTACTCTTTTTAAAGTAAAAAAAAATAAAAAAAAAAAAAAAAATAAAAATAAAAAAAGGTGAGTGCTTAAACCGTACATAGAGAGGACACTGTTAAATTTCAAAGACAAGCACGAATTATAAAAAAAATCCTATACTTGACGCTGGCTAATGCACAAATCGTGCCAGAGCCATAAATAAAGAAAAATAAAAAAACCAGATCAGACGTGGTTGCCTTCTCTGAGAACGGGTTATAAAGGTGTGCGAAAAGAGGTTCTAATGTGCTGATTGACTAACCCACTGACATAACTTAATAAACATTCCTTAGGTCATAGTGTTTAACAAAGACACCGCATCATTGCATTATTGAAGGAACAAATGAAAATGATTTGATTCTTTTTCAATTTATAATTGTATTTCAGTAAATTTAGTATTTGTAAAGAAACTCGGAAGAAATAACGATTTAAATTAATATGTCAAAAAAATAATTAAAAACTCTTTCTTGTATATTTATATATATATCACTCCAGAAGAAAGTGCATTTCTTGTAATTAAAGAATATTATTTTAATATTCTCCTCAGTCCTCCAAGGCAGAATACAAATTAAATATAAATTAAACCTATTGAAATAGACCCGACTTCTACTTATAGGTACTTCTTTCACGAGTCAATACGAGGTCCTCATAAACGAGAGGCCTAACCACAGAGCTTTCGATACATTGAAAGCGGCATATGGTCGCGACTCTGACATTGGTGTACCTACTACCGAAGATGAAGAAAGTAGTAGAGGCCATTTACAGGGTTCATTCTGGTAGAGTTGCTCATGATGATTCGGGTCTGAAACTGGGGTTGTAGAAGAGGACGTCACTTCACGCATTGCCGGAGCAACCCTCGAGCACCTTCGGCTGCGTGGCACTCAGTATTAGAATCTAACGTCAAATATGGGTTTGAAACATGAATTTCATTGCTGATTAGCTGGTCAATCAGGGTTTCGTTGCAACCAAGCGTCGCAAGTGGAACTTAATTGGCCACACACACTGAAGAGATTCCAACTATATTCAAAGCACAGATGTGGCTGTATGAATAAAACCTGGCAACGTTCACTTACAGATAAGGACAAAGATATCCGTAAAATGTTGAAGTGAGAGCCAAGCGCGATAGAAGAACTCTGTGGACGGGCGTCTGCCCCATTAAGGGGATGCAGGATAGTAACACAAGCCCATGTTCGTAAGTATTTTGTATTGTAAGCATCCTTAATACACACACACACACACACACACGTGTATGTGGGCTTTAAAACCTTATAAACGAAATTAATTATGAAAACCAAAACACATTTCTCCGAATTATCTATTCTTAATATATGTTACGGATAAATATTAACATTCCTTTTGTTACTGAGCACAGCCGGGGCGAGCCAGTAGTAGAGGCAAATAATTATTATAATGTAATGTGATATTAATAAAACAGAACTGTCGTTTTGTCGGCAAAAATTCGCTGACACGTCAGGAAGTGCTTACATACGAATTTAATACGGTTTGCGATCATTTTGTTTGGGGAACGCAAGCGTTCACCACGCGCTTACTAGACAGGCAACTCAGAATTAAACGAAATTGACAAGCTATCAGATGTCATTGTCAGTGTCAAGTATATTACTGAAACGCAAAGTCAGAATGGCGGCCTTGTCAACTAGTAACACTGATACAGTGACGCAGGGCGTACCTTGGCCGAATAATGAAGATGATTACGAAATTGGAGATGTTATTGGTAAGTATTATAGTAATTTACCAATATATATTTATTTTATGCTCTCAGACGTGTTAAATAATGTAAAAAGGAAAGAATATTGGTTCTATTATGTTGTAATACGACGATAACAAACACTCTATGCGAGCGAGAGAGACGGACAACGTTTGGCTGCAGGAGAGCGTAACTATTTGTCTCTTTCAAACACCCGCATAACTTTCGAGTATTTTATGAAATTTGAACTTGCGATTTGAAATATTGTTATTTGTACACGATAACACAAAGTTTTTTATCTTTTGGTAAAATGTATGTATGTTGTGTATACATATATAAATAATAATATGTGATTTCCTATTAATATAAAAACGACTGGCGGCCTATCCCGTCTTAATTTATTTGTTAAACATTTTGGTAAGAAATATAAAGCGAAAAAAGGATTCTAATTTTGATATTGGTATATAGTAGGTATATATTACACACAATAATACAAATCATTCCTCTTTATATTATTAGCATATATATTATATATAATATTAATCAATAAATAAAGACAAAAATAGGCCTTTAAATTTTTGTTATAAAATTAGAAGATGTGCCCAAAAATATAATTAGTAAAATGTGTACTATAAACAAAAAAAATATGTATCAGGTACTTAATGACAACGTAATCGGCTGTTACGACTATCGGTTTTTACGACTAAATATGAGTCGTCGATGTAATAAACGAGTCGTTATAATAGAGTTTCACCGTATTCGGAAATGATTGAAGGTGTTGGAGCCACAGCGGTCGTACATTCTGCGCTGTGTAAGCCGCGGAACCAGAAATGCGCTATAAAAAGAATAAGCCTCGATAAATGGAAATCCTCCTTGGATGAATTACTCAAAGAGATACAGGTATTGATCAAATTTACATTTGTCTATTCATATATGCATTATACGTGTAACTAATACCAACAAAACCTTTGTGTTTAACGGAACGTTTTATTTTTATAAAAAGCTTGGCTGGTTTTAATTATATACGAGATTTTCTTTAGCAAGTTATACTTGATGCGTTATGAAACTGTTGTACTATTCGTCTCTGTCATTTCAAATGTTTGCTTTTCTTTATTCCCCTATATTTTGCGAATTTTATGTAGCGAAGTTTCTCATTGCTGGCGACTGCGAATTCTTCTAATAAGTTTATTGATTTATTTATTTATTTATTAGTAATCTTATATCTAACATACATATTATAAAACAAAACACTTAGACAATTTACAAAGCCAAAACAGATTACCTAGATAGACAATATATATATATGTTCTTCAGCATTAGGCTACAGTAGCTTATTTCCTGAGACTTGTATGCAGGTCTACTGTATTCCATGACGCTTTACGTTCTCATTCGATGCACACAAATATGCCATAGGAACATTCATCAGTAAAATAAGGTCAAATTAGGTTCTATTGAATATATTTACTGAAAATAAGAAATCACTAATTCATATTATCTTCCGACTTCCGCGCAATACAAATTCATGCATTCTTCAATTGATCGTTAATTTAAATAATTGAAAACTAGGTCGAGTCAAGGTTAAGATTCATTCTCAATTATAACAAGCTTTTTTCAGGTCATCTCGAGCTGTAATCATGAAAATGTCGTCACGTATTATACAAGTTTCGTCGTAAAGGAAGAGTTATGGCTGGTTATAAGACTTCTGGAAGGTAGGAACTATATTTGTACGCAGCAAGATTTACGCAGGTTTTTTTAAAATTACCGGTATATTTTATATTATGTAAAGTGTTTGTTAAGAACCATATAATAATTATATAACGTATAATACTAGCTGACCTGGCAAACGTCGTTTTGCTATGTATATCATTTATAATAAAAAAATAGGGGTTGATCGTAGAGGGGTGAAAATTAGGGGTTGTATGTATTTTTTAAAGCTGAATCTAAAAAAAAATATCCTTAACATTTAGGGGTATGAAAAATAGATGTTGTCCCATTCTCAGACATACCCAATATGCACACAAAATTTCATGAGAATCGGTCTAGCCGTTTCAGAGGAGTTTAACTACTAACACCGCGACACGAGAATTTTATATATTAGATTTAGGTATATATTTATTTTGCTTTGCAAGCAGTTAAGTTTTCTAAGCTTACATTACTGAGCATTCTCCTATTTCAAAGCCAATTGCTGAGATGTCAAACATTTGCTTTTTATTAATTTTTACATTATCATAACTACCTTGATGATGAGATTACATTTTGTTACCTATATATTATATTTTCATTTGATTTTGTATATAGTGAGTTATCGAAACAATTAATTAACTTCATTCATGCAACTCGTTAGATCAGTAATATTTGAATGAAGCTCTCTCAATGCCTGGTGTCGATCAACTTATTATTCATTTTATGGTTAAAGCTTACGACGTTGATATTCGAAATTTATAGGTACTAAAGTAAATTAGGTCACATTCAGTTTATAACCTTTACGTTTTTTTCTAATTAATCGATCGTTATTGAATTTTTAAATTTAATTACTTAAGATGTCATGTGAAACATGGTGTAATGGTTGCAGCTTACAAACGTTGTGTAAAAAAAAACATGGCGATTGAAAAGAGTGGCGGAGAGTTTCTTGCCAGTTCTTCTCTTCCGTTCTACGCCCTTGATTTGAGAACTGGCACTAAATGTAAAATTAGAAGCATTAATATGTATTTCTTTACTGACAAGTCATAAGTGTACAATGTGTTACCTATATGATTAAATGATTTTTGAATTTGAATTTAGAATTTAGAATTTACTGGCTAAGAAAGCCAATTAAATATAGACTGATATTTTCATATTTAATGATTTCAATGTTTAAACCATTTATTAAGCTGAAGTTTAGTCACGATAATATTTAGACTCTATTATTTATTTATTAACACTTTGTTTCATAACATATTTGGCACATACAGATAACATAAATTATGAGATCTTAACGCTATCTAGCGATCTCTTCCAGGGTTCTTCTTTGCAAACCTCATTACTGAAGGTCGTGCTTATCTTAAAATGCCCTAAGTGATACATCGACTTGCTGCCTCCATACCACCACATCTATCCTCAGCTTGTCTTAGTGCGTTAGGGAAATTAGGATCCATAATTGTCTGTACCTGGTCCCGAGTAGGCGATCGACCCCGACACTCCTCCATTACCAACTTGTCGAGACTATTTGGTTCTCTCCTGGCAATATGGCCAAAGTAGCTAAGCACCTGCTTGTAAATGATAGTCGGCAGTCTTGTGGTGATCTTTCGGTGGTTGAGAATTGACTTATTGGTTCTTTTTGCAGTCCATGGTATTCGCAACAATCTCCTCCAACACCACATCTCGAATGCCTCTATCTTTTTCCGGTTCGCTGCACAAACTCACCAGGATTCTGATCCATACAAAAATATAAAAAATACCAAAGTTCTGATGAGTCGGCTCTTGGTAGCATTCGACAGCAGTTAGCAGTTTTCTGCTGTAGCCATCTTTGTTCGCCTACGGATTTCGCCGTCACATCCTTCCTGGTTACTTATGAGTGATTTTAAACACACAACAAATTTAAAGTCCAGGCTACCCTAGTGAAAAAAAAAAACTAGGGGTAAAGTTCTTAATTAAAAAGAATACAGATTATATACTAGAAGAACGAATTCAATACTAATAGCTAAGCTTAAAAGTCTTGAATCACAATGCTAGGTAAACATAAAAATAACATATTTGCAATACAAAAAAAATAGTATGTGTTACAAAAGTCACGATGGAACACATGGAAAGGATATGGATATTATTATATCCCCATTCTAGATATAGCTAGTAAAGTGTACCTTTGAAATATATAATACATAATCCAGTGCAAAATCAAATTTAATCTTAAACCCTTTTTCTTTTATATGTAGTTAAAAGCCTAGTGTCTCTCAGCCAATTCGTCTTACAGTAATATTCACAGTCGTGACATTGCGCTAAGCATGACTTACGTATGCCAAATGCAAATTAATGACATACTGAAGTTATACTTAGTGTTAAGTCTCGATAACTTCCTCACAACGTTTACCTTCACTAAACTTGCAAAACAGCGCACTTAATAAGAAATATCTGGTGATCGATTTGACTCCCGCCACACAGGTCATCAGTTCTCTGCTCAACATGGTACGAAATTACAGGTGGAAGTTTACGTGACGTAATCAAACATAAAATGAAAGTATCAAACTGCAAGCATGGAGTATTCGATGAAGTGACTATAGCGACTGTACTTAAAGAAGTTCTGAAGGGGTTAGAATATTTCCATAACAACGGAAAAATTCATAGGTGAGTTTATTATTAGGTTATTTAATTAAGGCCCTTATTTAATGCGGCATTTGTATATATACGTACAGTCAAAATCTGGGGCCTTAGTCAAGATACCTTAACAGTAGTGTATGTAGAAAGTCGAAAACTAAATTTGTATGGAAATGACAGTTGGTGTCGAAAAGTTTTCATACAAATTTAGTTTTTAGTTCGACGGGGCTACTCATATTTGGTCGCAAAAAGCGATGGTCGTAACAGCCTATGACGTTGTTATTAATAACCTAATACAATAGAATTCAGCCGGGAACTTTGATTTTGGTCAATATAACCAGTATGTTGTCGTAGTTTTGACTGTAGTAGTTTTGGTAAGTTGAAAATTACAAAATGCATATTTAGTAACAAGTTCGGCAGTTAAACTTAGCAGTAAAATAAACAGAAATGAGTCGCAATAAATATATAAAATGGATCATATAATACAGTGAGTACTGAAATAGCGGCAGTTACGAGTGGGCCACTCTAAACCTAACCTTGGGCGTCTAGGCAGAATACAAAATACCATCCGTATCACCTCGACGTCCGTCGTTCCACAACTGAGCTTTTCTTAAGGACCTATCCTATCGCCAAATTCCAAAAAAGTACATTGTTTCTTTCCATTTTTCTTCATCGTTTCTTGAAGTAGGGCGAATGGAAAAAGTATATGGTGGAGTTGAGTAGTTTATGTATCCATTTTGAAAGATCGATACTCGATTTAAATAACTTCGCTCGATGGAAAAAAAATCCAAACATAGCCAATTTTTAACACTTTGAATTAATATTATGACGAAAATGTATATAGAACATAATTTTGAAATTTACACGATATATTTAATCGCAACCCAAGTAATCCATTTCAGAAAAAAAAATGATAAAATTACATTAATTTAATGTTTTACATAACTAATTGTTATTACGGGTCGACGCGAAGCGCCTCTCCACTGCGCACCGCAGTGCAACCCGAGACACTGACACAGCAATTCGTGCTGGGATAGGGCCTTAAGGCAATTCGACTTAGGGTCCTTCAAGAAAAGAGCGTACCATTTCTTAAAAGGCCGGTAGCGCGCTTGCGAGCCTTCTGGCAGTGCGAGTGTCCTTGGGTGGCGGTATCCCTTAACATCGGGTGAGCCCGTTTGCCTCCTGTAACATTAAAAAAAATCTAAAACTGCCGAACTATTTATCGAACTGCCCATTCCATCATTTTTTCCCGCCCACTTATTTACTAGTATGCTTTAGTATTTTTAGTACTGAGATTGTACGACGAAATAACGGGCCAATTGTTTTTTATTTTAATGTCGCACAAATTTACCAACCAGCAATACAAAACTACCCATTATTTTTTTCAACTGAGCACAACTTCTCGTATATTTAAATAACACTTCAAAAATTGGTTCCCTTTAATTAATATAAAAATAGAAGACTATTACTATCGGTCGTTATTCACGTATTCACTTAATCACAAGGACTTTAGAAAAGGGAATAATAGATAACTCTAAATATTTCAAGAGAATTGACACCTAGTTAATTAAATAGTATTTAGTTATTGATAATAAATTTAGATGTCTTGATTTAAATAAGAATATTTTATCTGCAGTAACACTTTAATGGACGATTTATTGGTTTAATTTTGGAGCTATTGCGATAAAATGTATATTATGTTTTGTGTATGCTTTTGCGTTTGATACATTTTTAATAATTTAAATGTTTAAATCCCGTGTAACAAAATACATGCAATATGCGAAATATTAAAAGCGATAGCAGCTTGCGACTTGGCAAGATTGCGACTGATTACTGGGTTAAGAATATTTAGTTTAGCTTTTGCGTACTATTAGTAGCGAATTAAAATTCAGGCTAAGCGAGGTGCAAATGGCCTAACGAAACCTAGAAGTCCTGGACTCATATATTGGCCTCAGTTTGCAACAATTTCATAGACAAGTACGTGATCAGTCTAACACATTTCTTATACTTTTGAATTTGAGACCGGTTACCTCTCGATGTTTTCCTTCATCGTACGAGCGAGAGTAATACATAGAATGAAAACTCCATTGAAACAACGTGATTCGATCGCACGACCTCAAGGGTGCATAACGTTTTATAATAAGGCACCTATCTCAAATATTGTACTCTGCTTTGCGAAGCCATGCATAAATACTGTTCTTAATTTGCGATTTTTTATCTGGTCTGTGATAAAGTACTATTGCGAATATCCAAGACGATGAAAAAGGGTTCAGTTTGGAGCTTCAATGCCCGGTGAAACTATTTCGAGTTGGAAGGAACGTAGAAATTTAATTATTAACTAAATTGTGTCCCATTGGGAGACTAGTTTGTGTATTTGGCACATAAGACTTGCTTTAATAAATGCATTGTATTAAATGTATCTGTTTATATTTTTAAGGCGAATGTTGCTTTGTTTAGAAATTGAATTGTATATTTTGAATTGTGGCATACTACCGAATAACCAAATAAAAATTCAGGAACCAGTAAATTTGTTTATTCAAGGGCTTTTAAACCTCTCCATGGCTTGAGGTGTCTGGTATTAGCGATTGTTAATAACGCACAAAAAGTTTCATTTGTTCAGGAGTCGAACGCACAATAATTGAATCACACGATAGCTAGGTTCGAACGTACGACCTCAATGTTGACACACTCATTCTTGATAATAAATAACGACATTTTGTTGAATAACATTTCATTATTTAAAAAATATCATATATATATATAAAAATAAAAAATATTAACAAAATATATTTCAATTATTTTATATAGCTTAGATCCAAAAACTTCGTTATTCTTGGATGACGTTTTATTTTATATCTAATATATAGTATTTACAATTTTCTTTACCTACATACGTAGTATAATAAAAACGATATTAAAACAAATTTTAATAGTTTGGTCCCTTTGGCAGTGTACCTTTAACATTGGCAGCATTTCCTCGCTGTATTGCGATAATTATTTCTTGAGCGAGGAAAGCACCAGCTCTGGGGTCACCGGTACTATCTACCAGGAGCCAACTTAAATCTTTAATTAGCACTTGAACCCCACAGCCCAAAAGTTTCTACTCCAAAGGGAACAAAATTAAAGTTGGAGGAAAGACTCTCATATTTGATCAGTTTGTTATTTTTCTCCTGCTCTGCGGCCATGCCAGCTTTTTTGCAAATTATATTTTGTTTTTAAATTATATTTTACCACTGCGAATTTAGTTATGCTACATATATAACAAATGAATTTTATTTTTATATGCATAATATTATAAAATACTGATATAAAGCTAGCAGCGCGTAAAATAAGCTATATAACTTGAAATGTGTTTATATGATTATGTAAAACATATGTATGACGAAAATAGAATTAAAAGATTATATACAAAAGTTAATGGTAAACATTTCTTAAGTAATGCTTTATTTGCGAAGTTTATAATATATAAACATGATGTCCTCCAATAATATTCAGTAGAATCAAATTTTTAAAAAATTTCATAATGTGTTATTTCATTTCAATATGTTTCGTTAAATTTACTCATTTAAATTACTCCACAAAAGTAGGGATTAAATACGGGCGCATATTGATGTGCGGGACGTGTATGAACAAATATTATCTTAATATATAAAAATTACGTGTCACGTTGTTTGTCCGTTATTGGCTCCTAAATTACCGAACCGATATATTTATATATATAAATTTGCACACCGTGTGTAGTTTGATCCAACTTAAAAGATAGGACTTACATCTCGATTTATACCCTTATTATTTTATTTCAAAATATTTGTTTATTATTTGATAGTCACAATTCTAACAGATGGCGCTGTGTTGAAAGTACCAACGTTTCACATAAGCTACAATTTAATGGCATAACCACCAAAAGGCATGGTGGTCCCCATGACTGGTGTTCTCCTACCGTTTCCCTTTAATAGTTTGCTACTATGTAATATAACAAAAACCTTAGCCACAGCAACGCTTGGCCGGTCTGCTAGTATACTATATTATATAGATTACAACACTACAAACATCTAATAATATGTTCATTTTTATTATAGGCAAGCGATATAAGCGAGAAAAGTACCCTTTTAGTGGAAATTTCGTTCTTACACCTCTTACAATCATCAGTGTTTAACAAATTAATTCCAATATAAATAAATCCATTTTTTGAATGTTTATATCTATTCCTCTTAACGCTTAAAGTAGATGTTATTAAATCGATAATTCCTTTTTTATTAAGAAATATAAATATCGATTTCAGAGACATAAAAGCCGGAAATATCCTATTGGGCAAGGATGGAACAGTCCAAATTGCGGATTTTGGTGTGTCAGCCTGGCTCGGGTCAGAAAAGGACGTATCAAGGCAGAAGCTAAGACACACATTTGTGGGCACACCGTGCTGGATGGCTCCAGAAGTTATGGAACAGGTATAATGTGCACACATTTTTTAACTTAAATATTTCATCCGTACAAAAATTAAGTGTCAGCTAGTTTAGTTTAATAAGTGTATGTATAATTAGTACTCGCTGGCTCGAATCTTTTCGTATTCATGATATGCAGCAAAAATTGATGTGAATAATTGGTTCAGGTCCAAATTATGGTCAAAGTCTACTTTTACTTGGTATCATCTAATAGCACGGTTGAACAGTTAAAAGCGCTTATGGCCAACAAGAAGACCTTACTTATCACCTCAACGACCGCCGTTCCACAATTGAGCGTTTTAAAGGCAGTTTCTGACCTGAACCACCAATATGTGTAAACAGATGCCCACTGAAGGAATTCCGAACCAATTCGACTTCGACGGTCCTTCAAGAAAATAGCGTACCAAATCTTAAGAGGCCGGCAACACACTCACGAGCCTAGCATTAAGTGTCCATGGGCGGCGGTATTACTTAATATCAGGTGAGGCTCCTGTCCGTTTGCCCCCTGTTCTATTAATAAAAAAAACTGCACGAATTTCAGTACAGAACAGATCTATCAAGGTAACCAGGCGTTTATTACGGTGCAATAAAAATATAGCTATTATATTATATGTATACTAATATTATAAAGACGAATGATTTGTATGTAAGTATGTTTGTAACGTATCGGCTCAAAAAAAACTGGACCGATTTTAAAAATTCTTTCACCATTTGAATGCTACATTATCACTGATTAATATAGGGTATTGCAAGAAAAAAATAAGAATCCCTTCTAAAACTACAATCATTTCACCTAATGTGTAAAAAAATGCCTATAAAATATCTTTCATCGCATGCGCTGCGAAAACTATTTATGATAGAACAAAAAAATTATCCCCAATATTAAAGAACATAATATATTGATTATTGATACTAGCTGACCCGGCAAACGTTTGTATTGCCATGTATATTATTTCTAGGAAACATATTTATGGTTCAACAAAAATAACTATCTAAATAACAATAATAAAAAATAGGGGTTGATCATAGAGGGATGAAAATTAGGGGTTGTATGTATTTTTTAATGCTGTATCATACAAAAAATAAAGAATAAAATTTTTATATGAAATAAAATAAAAAAATTTAGGGGTGGACGACCCTTAACATTTAGGGGGATGACAAATAGATGTTGTCCGATTCTCAGACATACCCAATATGCACACAAAATTTCATAAGAATCGGTTGAGCCGTTTCGGAGGAGTATGGGAACGAACATTGTGACACGAGAATTTTATATATTATATTAGATATATACTAAAAATGTCGAGACGAGTCGACACGGGCCGCTAGTATTTCATATAATGTTTACATATTGTATATGGTCACATTACAAGCGTGTCCTAAATTATCTTGTATGCAACATAGCAACTATACCTTGTATGCACATCTACTTATTTTTCACTTTATTGTTCGCGTTATAGGCGATACGCTTCTGGTTGCGCATCATATAAATTACAATAACGTCACGTCTCTGATTATATTGTACAAAAGTTTATTTATGCTATTGTTCTAATTTATACTATATTATTTAGTATATTTTCAAGTAAATGAATGTAATGAGAAATATAAAGACCTTAAATCTAATCAATGTAAGTTTGTAAAGCATTTAAGAACATTTTCAGTCCCTATCAATCTTTATATCTCTGAAGTAGATCACGTTTTGGTACGATACGAGACGGTAGATAAACTATTTAAAATATATAAATAACTATGTAAATATACTGTAGGTATATATAGAAACCGTGAGAACTTAAAGCTCTCACGTTTTCTATACTAATATTATGAAGATAATAAATTTGGTTGGAGTTAAGTATTGTATGGCGGGTTCTACTATATAAATAATGTATAATATATAAATTTATAGTACGTTTTAAGATCTTCTGCCGATCCGAAGTGGTGGGGGCCTGATGGCCTCTACCCTTACCTTTAACAGGCACGTCTCACACCAGCAAGCATTTCCTTCTATTATAAAAAAAACTATTGCTGGTTTTTGTGCACTTATGTAAGTTAAGAGTAGTGTTGGAATATGGCTTCAGCGTGCGACTCTCGTCCCTGAGGACGTAGGTTCGATCCTCGGCTGTGCACCAATGGACCTTCTTTCTATGTGCGCATTTAACATTTGCTCGAACGGTGAAGGAAAACATCGCGAGGAAACCGACATGTCTTAGACCCAAAAAGTCGACGGCGTGTGTCAGGCACAGGGGGCTGATCACCTACTTGCCTATTAGATTAAAAAATGATCATGAAACAGATTCAGAAATCTGAGGCCAAGACCTAAAGAGATTATAGCGCCACTGATTTATTATTTTTTATTTGTATGTAAGTTTTTGGTAGAAAAATAAAGATTATTATTATTTTTCTCGGTTTACCAACCGAAGGCTATAAACACATATCACTTATTTTATAATACCGTGCTCTGATACTCGCGTAAATGACAGACTTTATTGTTTTATTATAAGCAATATCAATTTTTTTAATAGCAAATTTCATACAGATAAACTTAATATGTATATTAAAAATTCACGAGTCGGTTTTGTAAACGAAACTCCAAACGACTTTGAAAATTTCGTGTATATTCTGCAGGTCTAAGAGTAGGTATGTAGGAGTAGGCTGTATAGACAAACGATTTTTACACACCATATATGATCTGGCATTAAAAATACATATAACCCATATTTTCACCCTTTTACCGGCAACCACCACTTTTTAATAGCGTTATTAGTACTGTAATTACAAGTCGTTTGCCGGGTCATCTAGTAAGGCAATGAGCTTATAAACTAAACAATAATGTTACACAGAAGGATAAAATTCTACCTTCCTTGCATAAATGAAGGTGTTAGGCCTTTATCACACGCGTAGCGTCCTCGCGGCGTTCTCGCGCGGTATTTTGTACACTCGCCCATCCAGCCCCACCTCAGTCCGTCAGTCTATAAAAGACGCGAGTTTGAGTGCCGCATAATCAAATAATGGTGTCGTCGGAAGATCGACTTAATATCGAGTTCAAAATCAGCCTGTTACATGGGTCAAACAAAAAGAGTATATAAAAACGACGGGTTACACTCCGGGAGTGCCGGCACAAGTCAAAACCTTAATATTAACGTTGTGCATTTTTGATATTTTGAAATGGTTATGGATTAATTTTGCACGAATTGCTTTAATTATCAATTATTAATGATAGTATAAAAGTACTATCATTGATGTGGTAAAATACAATATTTATTTATTGCGCTATCGTACACAAACATGACAATTTATATTACATTAAATACGCCGCGCCAGCTGTCTACTCTCCATCCGTCTTACGAAACCTACACAGAATAATTAATATTAGTATTAAATAATTCAATTAGGAAAATTTACTATTTTTGAAGTTGCCATTTTTTATTCGCGTCAGTCTAACCAAATCATTAGTAATAAAGCTTAAGACGTTTCGCAAATTTTAAATCTTGATGTATTGACTTAAGATCCAATTCCACATGCATCAATGTATGTGAGGAAAGAGACAAATGAATTAAAACCGTAACTATATAGCACGAAGGTTCATAATCCTTCAAAAAACATCCGTCTTACGAATTTGTCCTGACGCGAGTCCCCATTCCAAAAAGTGTACATCGCCGCTAAAGAAGTTTTCACTTCAATAAAGCCAGCATTGTTTCCTCGTCTGAATCCATGACTACGGAGTGAACAAAACAAGGAAGGGACGCCCCGCGCTCGCATCCTCGTCGGCGGCAGTCGCGTCGCTTTCAAATCGCTTGCTAATCGCCAGTGTGTTAAGGCCCTTAGATAATAGTTTTTCTATTCACCACACTTATATGTCTATTCTATAATTCAATCTTTCAGGATCAGGGTTACGACTTCAAAGCTGATATATGGTCGTTTGGAATAACGGCGATTGAATTGGCAACTGGCACTGCGCCTTACTGTAAATACCCTCCGATGAAAGTTCTTATGCTTACATTGCAAAATGATGCCCCAGATTTGGATACATGTAAGTACATGTACTTTTTTATAGAATAGGGGGCAAACGGGCAAGAGGTTCATCTGATGTTAAGTAATACGTCGCCGCCATCGCCCTGCCCATGCCATGGCACTCAATGCCAGAGGGCTAGCGTGTGCATTGCCGGCCTTTTAAGAAATGGTACGCCCTTTTCTTGAAGGACCCTAAGTCGAATTGGTTCGTTAATACTTCAGTGGGCAGCTGGTCCCACATAGTGGGGTGCGGAAACTGCCTAAAATAATTTCTGTAAAATTCTTTTCTTTTTCAGGTTCCGAGGACAAAACCCAATACAAGATATACGGTAAAACATTTAGAAAGATGATAAAAGATTGTTTGCAAAAGAATCCAACGAAACGGCCTACTGCTACGGAACTATTAAAACATCCATTCTTCAAGAAAGCGCAAGACAAAAAATATCTTAGTCAACAATTGGTAGACATCGGGCACAGTATGGAATTGAAGGTATAAAAACTAAGTCACTTGGCGTTTCTGAAATCGAAAAAATTTATCAGTGGCGCTACAACCTTTTTAGGTCTGGACCTCAGATTTATGTATCTCTTTCATGATCATTTGTCAATCTTATTGGCAAGTATATCAGCCTTCTGTGCCTGACACACACTGTCGATTTTTTGGGTCTAATGCAACCCGGTTTCTCAGGATGTTTTCCTTCGCCGTGTGAGCAAATGTTAAATACGCACATAAAGAACCTACGAACTCAGGGATGAGTGTCGCACGTTGAAGCCACTAGGCCAACACTGCTCAAATATGCTCTGAAATCGAAAACTATATAATATATTTATGTTTGTACATACATTATAATGAATTATACAGTATTTACGATTTTCTTAATCTACAAAGTAATAATACATAAATTGTGCGTGTACTAGGTGTACACACGTAAGAAGTGAAACTTCTTTATGATCTTACTTTTCGAAAAATGATCTACTATATGCAACTTTACAGAAATTAGATAAAGTTTAACAAAAGGCTTTTATTATCATAGACATGAATACAAATATTTCATTTTACCTTATTACTACGAAGATTATTATAGAATTTCATTAATTGTAATAGAATTATTACTATCATTGAAAAACGTGACGATTTGCTACAAAATTTCTCCCATACGTCGATAAAGAAGTTTCTTGCCAACGCCGATAAAGAAGTTTGACTTCAAAAAGCAACATGGCGCGTAACCGAAAAATGTGACGCGTAACGAAAAAATGTTACACTAAATTTTATTCCAACCTCGATAAAGAAGTTTCACTTCAAAAATTATTAAAATGAAAATCAAAACAAATTTAAAAAGTTTGGCCCCTGTGCAGTGTACTTTTAACGCTGGCAGCAATCCCTCGCTGTATTATTGTTGATATAATTAGAAATTGTAATTATAGTGGGATATCCATAAGAGATAGACATATACCATAGCTGAGTTTTTTGTAGACCTTTTCAATGTGTACAACACTTAGTACATTATTTTGATAAATCTCGTAGGGAAAAAATTTAATTATTTACGACATCACATTAGAAACCTCAAAAATAACAGCATTTCTCCACTATTTCATGGATGTTATTATACATATAAACCTTCCTCTTAAATTACTCTATCTATAAAAAAAACCGTATCAAAATCCGTTGGGTAGTTTTAAAGATTTAAGCATACATAGGGACAGAGAAAGCGACTTTGTTTGATACTATGTAATGATAGTTTCAGGCTAAACGACATTCAAGTGCTTCGGGCGGTTTGCATCGTACAGCGACTGGTCAATGGGTGTGGGATGATGACGACGATGATGATTCTGATGATGATAATAAACCTATAAATGAGATACAAAACGAGTCCAGCAGTAGTGATGAGGACGTAAGTAATACGTCAGTGAATACATAAAAGTAGACGAACCCTGATAAGTCAAAAACCTCCATGGTGGCGGTTTAATTGGCCTCTTGGATAGGCGTGCCCTGCAATAGGCCGCATATCACTTAACAGCAGGTGGGGTTGTGGCGATAAAAAGTGCGTGCGTACAAAGTACACATGTCAGAAGTGATACTTTTTGTAAATTAATTATTACTAAGGTAAAAGCCCCAATAGATGATCATGTACCAGTACGAGTATATGATTACTCCATGTATTTGTATATATATTCACACTGTTTACACACTGTATACGTGTTAATGATAATGCAAATAAATACAAAATTTGGGATCACTGTACAAGAGGTTATGCAACAGAATTGCCATTTATAGTACTAATATGTAACTCCTAAATGAATACATCAAACAATAGCGTGTTCGATCTCCCTTTCTCACTCATTCTCAATCGCTCTCTCCCTTTTCGTCGACAAAAACGCTGCACATATTCGTGACGTTTCATCCGTAAAAAATATACCCTCATGCGCCTAAAGAAGTTTCACTTAAAAAATGTTTTGTCAATTCCCTTGAAGCACCTAAGTCTCCATTACTCGAAGTCTCAACCTGCTACTAGTCGAAGTAATCAATCCCTGCATACCGTTCTAGTACATATTTTCCATATGTATTGTATCTCTTACATACAGTTTGCCGATAATCAATAGATATTAAAATTGTTTTTTTTTTTTTCTATTTAGAAAATATTTCTTTTTATTTACACAAATACAGTATTTACAATGTTCTTAACCTATAAAGTAATAATAAAATAATTAAAGAAGAAAGAAGAAAATCAAAACAAATTTAAAAAGTTTGGTCCCTGTGGGGCAGCGTACCTTTAACGCTGGCAGCATTTCCTCGCTGTATTGCGAGACTTATTCTTTGAGCCAGGAAAGTGCCAGCTCTGTGGTCACCGGTACTATCTACCAGGCGCCAACTTAAATCTTTAATAAGCGCCTGTGCACTTGAACCCCACGGCCCAAGAGTCTCTACTCCAAAGGGAACAAAATTGAAGTTGGAGGAAAGACTCTTATATTTGTGCCGTTTGTTAATTTCTGCCTGTTCTGCGGCCGCGCCAGCTTTTTTGCTTGTCCGAAGGAGATGAGACGGGGCAAAGGTGTCTACACAGGTAGCATCCCATACTAAAGCCCGTCCCATTTTCCAAGGGATCAAAGACATTCCATCCGGCCGCTTGCCATCGTCTCTTGCGATGCCTGTTGGCTCCAAAATTGCTGGAACATTGACAGAGGCAAGAGAGCGGCGTATAATGTCGTTTAGCGCGGCATGGCGAGAAAAACGACCTGCACTCTTTTGGCAGTGTAGGCCAAAAAATAAAAAAATAAAAAAAAAAAAAAATTAATTAAAATTGTTAGTATATTACTTAAACTCTAGTTAATAGTCAAAACGTGTTTGTTAGATAGTAGTCATAAGCAAATTAATTAATAATTAGGCACACGAAACTACTCTGTGTAAAACTTGTTAACAACAATAAAGGCTTTTTTTTATATCTCGTACATAGAATATATTTTACAATTCGATTTTTTGAAACTTATTACGTCTAAAGTTCGAAGAATAATAAGTAATGGACCGATATTGAAACTGAAAATTAGTAAGGATAAATCTTAATTCTTTGATTCTACCTGCAGAGGTACAGGTCAAATCAAAATCCGCCTAAGAAATCTCTATAACTCGAATTTTTTGGCATCTCCTTTGATTTTCGAGTTATAGTTGTTTTTTTATAAATTGACTCTGGACAAAGATACCATTTAACATTACAATCTATACTAACTTAAGTAATTTAAAACTAATTTTATTTACCAAAAAATATATTTAACATAAGAAAGTGTCCAATAATACTACTTACAGTCTCATTTAAAAGGAAGACACTCTGTTCTTGTGTATTTTATCCACTCACCACCAACGTGCACTCACACTAATTCATTTATGAATGATTTTGCCCTTTTCAATCTTCTCACTAGAGCCGCGGTGTCAAGAAGTTGAATAGCTTTAAGAAATGTATGTAGGAGAATAAATAAAATTGTATATAGTCTAAAACGCCAATATTAATTACTAGAAAATTGCAAGTTTCGAATTTATTCTTTATAAATGTCATGTTTATAAATATTTTCAGGAGCCAGGGGAAGAACAAAATGCAACATCAAATTCTCCAAAGGTATATAACCTCGTATTAAGACTGAGGTATGAATTTTGACTACTACTCCGGACTAGTTAGAAAAGTTGCTTTAATTTTTTATGGTAATAAGAACAATCCAGTGGAACCGCAATCCTAATATATATACATTATATATAAACCTATATCTATATAAATAATAGATATAGGTTTTAGACTGCATTTTCTTTAATCATTTTTATTTTATAGAATACTAGTGGACCCCACAGACGTTGCCCTGCATGATATTTAAAGCGATTAGGATATTAAGCAAAGTATGAAAGTACCGACTGCAGTGCCATCTGCCGGGCTGATTTGTGAATCTAAACCATTCCCAGATCCCCTTGAGCACACACAAAAAATTTCATCAAAATCGGTCCAGTCGTTTGAGAGAAGTTCAGTGACATACACACTCACAGAAGAATTATATATATAAAGATTATATTTTAAATAGAGGCAGATGATCAGCCTTCTGTGTCTGACACATGTCGTCGGTTTGAGATGTGGCGGTTTCTTCATGATATTTGCCTTCACCGTAGGAGCAAATGCTTATTTCGCATATAGAAAGATTCCATAGATGCAACGCCGTGATACAAACGCACGACCCCAAGATTGAGGGTCGCGGGCTTAAGCCACTAGGCCGACACGGCTTTTTATGTTAATACAGTCAAAACCGTTTACGACGACATCTTTTAGAACAACATACCGGTTATATTGACCAAAATCAAATGTCCCGGCTGAATTCTATTGTATTAGGTACTTAATAAGAACGTCAACGAACGTTACGAATATCGGTTTTTACGACTTAGGGTCTGTTTCACAATGTGTGGATAAAAAACCAAATAGCTATGCAATACATAAATTATTTGGAAGATAAATTGTGCTATTTGACACTTCATCGGACTTATAACTTATGATGGACTTTATGTTACGATTAGCGCTATCTGACAGTCGTGAAACGCAACAATACTGTTTATCCTACCAATAAGTAATAAATAGCTTATTTGGAAATTATGTAGAACTTATCCGTACATTGTGAAACATACCCTAAATATGAGTAGTCCCTTCGATGTCGTTATAACAGATTTTGATTGTATTTTCTTAATCCACATATTCTTAGTAACAATAAAGTTCTGTTGAACAATTTAAAGTCGTATTTAATTACATATTTATTCTGAGATTTAAATATTTGTTTGTTGTTGTGATCCAATTTTTTACATTTCCACCACAAATTTAAATAATTCTGAAAATTGTGAAAAATATTAGTAATTACTCATTCCCCTTACGTTGGAAAGCATTGTAAAGCTTACGATTAAGCTTAATGATTAAATATTCCTCTATACCTGCGCAAAATACTTTTTCGAACGATGAAAATCCTTAGGAAACCAGAATTGAAAATACACCATCTTCAAAATTTAAAGAAGCCTGAAAACCCTGATCAAGGAAACTGGATACATGCGGGTAGTTTGGCGGTCTCCAGCAATCAAGATTTATAACCTTACCATAACATTTCAGAAATGATAGACTGGAACTTAACGAAATAAAATTCGCATTTATTACTGGAAAGGACACTGGCCGTAGTATAGCGAGTGAGTTGGTGGAAGCTGGCTTACTAAGTCCAATAGATTGGGCTCCTATAGCAAGGAACTTGGCACAATTGCTCCTTCTACCGGAGTCTGATTCAATCACATTCAATCTGGTGAGTTCTGCTTTTAGTGGGTTTACAGACTATGGGTCGGTCAAATCAAAATATTATTTATTCATCTAGGTAAGTTGTTAACGTTTGTAAGAAATAAATTGTGCGTGTTATGATCTTATTTTTCGAAAAATGATCTACTATATGCAACTTTACAGAAATTCGTTAAATTAGATAAAGTTTAACAAAAGGCTTTTATTATCATAGACATGAATACAAATATTTCATTTTACCTTATTACTACGAAGATTATTATAGAATTTCATTAATTGTAATAGAATTATTACTATCATAGAAAAACGTGACGATTTGCTACAAAATTTCTCCCATACGTCAATAAAAAAGTTTCATTCCAACGCCGATAAAGAAGTTTGACTTCAAAAAGCAACATGGCGCGTAACCGAAAAATGTGACGCGTAACGAAAAAATGTTACACTAAATTTTTTTCCAACCTCGATAAAGAAGTTTCACTTCAAAAATGGTTCTAAATTTAAATATACAGCCCGTTCTTAAATCAAAGTCGTAAACTCGAAGAACTGGCAACAATGTCCGTGATTCTTAAATCGTTTATTTTTACAAAATTTTTGTAAGCACCTGCAACCATTACATCAAGCTTATCACGTGTTAAAGCACTTAACTATAGTAATCAAATAAATAATGCATAAACAAATACGAAAACCCAACCTCTATCAGCAAACAACTACGTGTTGTCAAGTTGAATCAAGGCCTTAACAAGTTCATATAAACAAACATATGTATATAATAAATAAAATATCCTTCACTTATTATTAAGGATATTATTATTTACTTTTTATTTTTTCCTTCTCTACCAAGGAATAAATTTTTAAGATTATTCAAATCTAGGTATTGTAGATTCGGTCGCAGCATGAAATCTTCAATATATTGAAGATCTTTCACATTACTCGGTCTCATTCATTCACACTTTTCATATTATGAAAGTTAAAAAAAACTACTTTTTAAATTACATCATACAAACCTTATCGGAACAATGACGAACAAACTTTTGTAAATAAGTTATGTAACTAGATTTTTATATAAATGATCTATGAATAATGGGTGATAACAAAAACATGTCCTTAACTATCTGATCTCTTTCACGCAAAGATTGGTTTTAAATCTATCTAATATATAAAATTCTCGTGTCACAGTTTTCGTTGCCATACTCCTCCGACACGGCTCAACCGATTCTCATGAAATTTTGTGTGCATATTGGGTATGTCTGAGAATCAGACAACATCTATTTTTCATCCCCCTAAATGTTTTTTTTTTTAATTTTTAGATAAATTACTTTTTTTTTATACAGCATTAAAAAATACATATAACCCCTAATTTTCACCCCTCTACGATCAACCCCTATTTTTTATTATAAATGAAATACATGGCAAAGTGACGTTTGCCGGATCAGCTAGTTTTAAAAATATGTGGCTATAAAATGCCATATACACATGATAATAACTTAATACCACACTGTTAAAAAAATTATCAAATGGGTGTTCGTTTTGTTATTATACTCTAAGTCTACGTTAGGTATTGTTATTTCTGTTTCTTTATGTTCTGCAGGATGCATCTCTTTTGTATTAAGGAAAACTCCTCTGGATGGATCAGTTGTTAACCCCAGAATACTCATAACAGAGACAACTCAGAGAGAAAAAACTTAATTCATATTCTAATTACATAAAAGAAATGCAGTCGATGTAAATAGGCTATTTAAGGCTCAAAAATAATTTAATAACTTAAATTTTTGTATTAGAGTTGCGTACCTTTGTTTAAGGGTCTCAAATGTTTATCTCTTCCCAGTATGTTTATTCTAGAAATGCCCTTATTCGTTCACAAAAACATAAAGAGAGTGGGGGAGAAATTGGTTATGCCAGAAATTAATCTGGAATTGTATAGGAAAAACAGTTTTTGTATGGCAATAAAGGTTTCTAATAATAAATAATAAATAAATCAGTGGCGCTACAACCTCTATAGGTCTTGGCCTCAGATTTCTGAATCTGTTTCATGATCATTTTTTTTAAATCTAATAGGCAAGTAGGTGATCAGACGCCCGCCGTCGTTTTTTTGGGGTTTGAGACATGTCGGTTTCCTCACGATGTTTTCTCTCACCGTTCGAGCAAATGTTAAATGCGCACATAAAAAGAAATTCCATTGGTCCGGGGATCGAACCTACGACCTTAGGAATGAGAGTCGCATGCTGAAGACACTAGGCCAACACTGCTAAAAGGTTTATAATAATTTACCAAAAACGTTCAAAAGATCTTCTTACTATAGATTTAACAAAATTACTTAATATACTAATTTTGGGAAAAACATTGTTCTATTTATGCGTATTTGAGTGAAACATTTGAATAAATGTTATTTTAATAATGTAATAATACGTTTTTTATGTGATTATGACGTATATGAGAAATATAAGAATTGACTATGATAATTTGATAAATCATCAAAACCTTTTAATAATGTAAGACAAATTTTGCACGCCATTATGTGTGGCAGAATAGTGTGGCAGAAGTTTAGATTGATTTGTGTACCATATTCTTGCAAATAAATTATTATTATAAATAAATAGTGAGCAAAGACCTTCCTTAGACCATAATATACTCGTCATATTTCAATAGTTCTAAGATATATAAAAGTTAAAAATATCCCTTTCCGTAAGTTAATAAAATACGTTTTCAGATATAAATATATAATTTACGCATGTGATAAATTTAATAAATATTTAAATTTGTGTTTACAGATTTCCACTCCCACTAATAAAATGGACAAAGATAAACTAATCGGATTTGCGCAAATATGTATTATATCCATAGAGTGTGAGTGACTTTTCTTTTGTAAGTTTATATTTTTTTATAAAAAAAATATTTTTCAATCTATAGAATAAATTATTTTTAATAATATTATTTTTTATTGAATCTCAATAGAATTTATTCTTTATATGAAGTTTGCAATCTTAGTCACAATGAAACACCAGCGTTTTAACATCAATATTATATAGGTTCGTTCTTCAACTTCGATCCAGTGGTTCCAACCATTTAGATTAAATAGACGATATTTGAGTGTCAAGCTTAAGACGGCTCGTGCTTGCAAAATATTTCTGTCCGCACCATGTGTTACTGGGATTAAGACACATTATTTAATTTATATAAATCAAGACGTCAAATAAAAATACATTAAGTACTTACATATTTATTAAATAGGGATTTAGGACTAAACTTAAAATTAGTATTATAATAAATTAAAAGTTATGTCTTAATAAAACTCGGCAACGGCACCTACTGCTACTGTAACAAAAGATAATTGGTTTTAACTAAGTCCTCAAAATTTTAATTCAAGTACTGGACCCCGGATATACCTGCGAGATCCTAGGTGAATAAAATAAAATAATTGTTTTATTTAGAAAGAAGCTACATGGACAATCAATGTCACCGATGATGAATTTAAATAAACCTAAGTATATCGTTTATAAATAGAAAGCTCGAAGTCCATTGCAATGTTACATTTGCTGAATATTTGTTAGAGGACGCAAATTTATTTATGGGACATGTAGAGGGGCAATAGAAGCTTAAACCCAAGTTTGTGGGGTTGGCACCCTTGTCCCCCGGCCGCCATCTTGGAAACAGGGGTAAAAACACGTTTTTGGCTATATCTCCTAAGCTATCCATCGTACAAAAAATTTGTTTAGACATATTACGTGGCAAATAGCTTTGCCTACAATTATGACCCTGTTACATTACTAATAACTTTTGAATTTTGGCTCTATGATAAAAGATGGCGGCCGGGGGGCAAGGGCGCCAACCCCACAAACTTGGGTTTAAGCTTGTAATGACCCCCCAAATAGTTCAGTTTGGCCCTCCATTTATAACATTTCAATGGACTATCGGTTAATTCGCGGTAATGGACGGCATTGCTAATCACTTATATTAAATTGTTCTCAGTCAAATTGTCTATCGCTGCCAATGAGTTATGTAAATAAAGCATCTATATTGTGTTTATTCGCGTGAATCAAAGAATATTGCTGCTCAATAAAAATACGGAACAATAATGGGTAATATTAGCAGCGGAATAGTATAAACTCACCGTATAGCAACATTCAACGCCCAAATGTTTCTGGGCTGGACAAAGTACGCCTCGTAGTTGACTTAAATCCTTTGGGTCACAGTCCTGAATTGGTAAACAGACGCCACCTTGCCGAACGCACGCCTCTTCTATTTCGATCACTATTGAAAAAAACAATTGATTTAATAAATATTCTGATCAAATTAAATTGTTTACTGCTTCGATGTACCGAAATAGGCCTTGACATACGAACTGATTATATGAATTGTATTCAAGGGCCTTGAGATAAAATTTTACGATTAACTTAGGCTACTTACATACTAGTCTTGAGTAATATAAAAAATGCTTACTTTTTTTTAATAAGTAATATTATGTTGACTTAATTTTCTACAATACTAGTGAATATCTTAAACTAAGGTAATGTTCGTTAACAGTCTTAGTGTTATATAATGTTTTGACACTATATTCGTGTGTCCGAAATACGGGTTACACACATATATATACACTTGCACATTTATTAATTACACTAGGTTTATTAACTCAAAAGGTTTAGTTCTCTTACTTCTTAAACCTAAAAAATTTTTGTCATACGAAATAATTAATGAAAATTATTTAAATTTAAAAAAATAAATAAATGAAATGAATTTTCATTAAGAAAGAAAAAAAGTCACAGTATTTAGGTAAGAACAATATTTACGTAACTGTTATTACGTAAGTGTTGAGGGTAGAACGAATTTTTTTTAGTTTTTCTTCATATACCAATTCAATTTTCTTTATTTCTAAATAAATGTTTATTGATGACATTCATAATTGTTAATTAGATAACGCTTATTCAACACCACAGCACAAGAAAAATACAAAGTACTTCACTAGGACTTTTAATACTTATATATTAATACAAAGTAAATAACTGATATTTTTAATAGGCGAATGTGAGTGAAATGTAGGAAGAAAATAGCTTAGGAAGTCTGTCGTTTAAAGTTCTATTGTAAGTAGCAAACAGTTCGTATTGACTTTCAATGAAGGCCTTGTAGTTCACGCTAGATAAGTAATATCGCAATGACATTAGAATACTATAATGTTTATAAATAGATAATTAATACTTATTAGCGGTTTTATTCAAATTAATATAGGTTTCCTCAATAATAATTAGTCTATACAGCCTATTGTTTTGCTCCGCATTTTACGGTTCCTTGGCTATCGGGGTGCTTTAAATAATAGAGGATTTTATTTTTTACTCTATATTAACCATTCGCGTATTACAATAGAATATAAGCGAAATAATTGCTATGTAGCGAATAAATGCAATGTAACAGTTGAAGAGAGTGCCTATGTCTGGCTATACGGGGTGTAACTCCGACGATTTAAGAAATCGCCACGCTTATGAAACTAAGAAAGCGTAAATGAGCATAATGTACACCCGTGGCTCGTCGGTCCTGTTTTATTAATTCGATCTCGAAGTTCGTTTAACCTCTTAAAAACAGCTTACTTGTTAATTATGCAGTTGGTAAAAAACCAAATAAAAAATTGATCTTTCTACGCTAGTATCGACTTCTAATGCCGTGGTAGCGCGCGCAGCTCGTTTGCGAAGAAGGCTTGCTGAAGGCACGCGTCTGAAGGGCTGTCTGCCTATGAATTATTAAAACTATTCCACAATTCCAGATTGTGCTAATCGACTATACCCAAACATCTACAGTGTTTAGACTAAAGCAAGAAATATAGTAGGCATTTTCTATTTACGAAAATCGGATATTGAAAAAGAAAGTTGCGTTTTATAAACAAAATGTACGTATCCTATTTCCACTATAGAAATTGACATAGTATCAAGGCCAATTACAGCCACATCACACACGCATTACACACTTAAACGTACCTTCTTTCAAAGAAAAAAAAATGTTATCTCTATTTTTTTCTTTGATTATTGTATTTTGTATGTTTCTATTGTGTTTTTATTAATAATTGTAATGTTGTCTTTATATACTCTTGCCAGAAAAATCATAAAATTTTATATTGAAAAATCTAATAATTGACAACATACTTACTTTAATTATTAATCCTTATATAAACGTTTTTAAATAAATTTTGAAAATGGACACTGCAAAATTTAATATACATATATGTTTCATACACAACTATATAATATAGTATATATGAACGGCAATTTTATAATTTCTCACTAAAAGCGATCAGGTTTAGTTGTCTACTAACGCTAAATTATTATTTCTCCAAAACCAAGGACGTGCCAAACTACTGGGGGAGTTTTAATACTGCTTGATAATTAACTTTTTTTAATTAATTGAATAAAATTTCAGAATTTCAATACTTAATTGAATAAAATAGTGTAATATTTATAGTTTTTGAAAATAAATTCGTTCCATTATCACTTAGACTAATTCGGAAAACCTAAATCAATCCAATAGACTATTTAATAAGAATTTAAAATCCATTGAAGATTATTGTGACGAAAGAACCTATACAAATCGTTATTCCGTTAAATATTTAAGAATAAAAACGTTCGCTCATAATATATCTAATTCGCAACGCGTGTAATTTTTCTACTTACACTGTACTGGAGATGACGCTCTTTTGATAGCTGGAATGGCTCCCAGGCTCATAAAAAATGTGAAGATAATCACTAACTTCAGCATGATTTGTATCACTGGTTCACTGGGTCAAATACAAGTAACATCTGAGCTCAAGACCGCCGTTTCACACTATTTATACGTTGATAAATAACGCTTTTATATGATACGAGTAGCACGAGAAATCGAGTTTTGTTATTGTATTAAGTAGATATAATTACGTACGAATTGCATGTGTTATATTTTTTGTGATACGTGTCAAATATTTAAAATATACTAGCTGTTCGCTGGCACGTTTTATATATTTCGATTTTATGGTGCGCTTTTTATTAAGCACACAAATTATTTTCATTTTCTCATACTATGTAGAGACATCGCTCAAATTGTTGAGGAATTGTACACTATTAACATAATGTTATGTGTAGGCATTGGTGTTTATATGCTATTGCGTAGGTATATATATATATATATATATTATGTGTGATTGATCAACACTCATGTGTCATGTGTGTTAGGGTAAGGTTTAAATGGTAAATTTAGCGTAAGATACTAATAAATAAGTTACGAACTTTGTATTTACGCTGAAATATTTTGATGTTCGCGCATCTCAGTAAATTTTGTATAGAAGTCCTTTTAGTGAGGTGCTATAGGTCATATAGCTTCGAGCTACTTTACATCTGGTTACATATATATGTTAAGCTGGTTTCGAAGAGCAATGTTGACGTAGTGAATTCCGCGTGCGACTTTCATCCCTGGGGTTGTATGGACTTTCTATGTGCGCAATTAACAGTCGCTCGTACGGCGAAGCAAATCATCGTGAGGAAACCGGCTTCCCTTGCCAAAAAGTCGACGGTGTGTCAGGCACAGGAGACTGATCACCTACTTTCCTATTAGATTGATTGATCACGAAACGTATACTGAAATCTGAGGCCCAGGCCCAGACCAAAAAGGTTGTAGTGCCACTGGGTTTCACGTATGTATGTTGTAACCGTGTAAATATACAGTATAATTTTTAACATCTTATACTAAAATAATATTTTTATGTATTTTAAAACATTTATCGGACGACGGAAGGTATTTTTTTATTATTACCTTCAAAACTACAACTAAAGAAGAATATTGTCATACACCTTATATATTTCGACGAAAGTGCATTTCTTTTGTCTCCTGTCATTACAAGATG